GGGAATAAGTGCGTTTGAGATGGCTAGGTTGGCACAGGATAGAACAGCATTTAGAGCTCTTGTACATAGGGTCACTATGAGTCGCAAGCGACTCGATGGCACATAACAACAACAACAACAACAACTCAAATTCATTGCCATTGAGTTGGAACCAACACATAGCTGACCCCTAAGAGGTTTTTACAGGCTGTAAATTGCAGAGGAGGAAGTTAGCCATCTTTCTTTTGTAGAGCAGCTGGTGGATATGAACCACTTGCCTTTGGGTTGGGAGCACAGCTCTTTACTCGCTAGGCTACTAGAGCTCTCTTTCCCCCACTATTCTTTCTAGTTGGTTAATACTTTTGTTTGATATCTAAGCTACTTTGCTGCATTTTCTAAGTTACAATTTCCAAAAATTTTATTACTTTGGATTTCAATAGCTACCTGGTCTGTAGATAATGAAGATTTATCATCTTTCTTCTAGTAGCTGTGCATGTTCATTTTGCTTTATCTAAGTAGTTACTTGCTATTGTGGCTGAACTTCTGTTAACAGTGTGAATTATTAATGTTGATAAAGTCAACCATGTTTTATTCTAAGTTTAATGTTTCTAATGTTTAAAAGCTAAATACTGATGATTCGTTTGAAATTTTGTTGTTGCTCTTTTTGAAAATATTCAATCAGGAAGAACTTTTTTCTTTTAGGTTTTTGACTCTCTGATGACATTAAATTGTATACCTGATATTTATTCAGGCCCTAATGAGACCACTGTATGATCTCTTTTTCTGATGGATTAATAACCGTTCTAACCTTAAAGATGAGATAAAGTCTAGTGTGGTGTTAGGACTTTTGAAAATGGTTTTTTCATCCACTGCTTTAACACCCTCCAGCCCCCACACCAGCCCTGGCATAGTCTCCAGCTGCCTCAAGTGCAGACCTGTGGTTCACAACATGCTGTGAGGCCAGCATAGGAGAGAGCTAAAGAGACTGTGGCATAGCATAGACTGACAGAACCCTGGAGACACAGCCAGAGTTAAAGGTTCTGCTTGCTAGATGACTGAAGGAAGAGCTGACGATGACTGCTGTGAGACAAAGACTCAATCATGGATGACTGAGGAAACCAGAGGCTTCTTGCATTTGTGTTGCTGGACTAAACTTGACTTTCACTTGTTGACCGAGAAGATGTCTTAATTGAGAAATTCTGTGTTATTTTCATCTGCCCTGGGACTGCTGGACTAATCCTGGACTTTCACTGTGTGATACCCTTTGCCTACCCCAGCTCCCAGCCTATTTCTCTAATAAACCCCACAACTGTGAGTAAAGTCTGTGAGCCAATTAGTAACAAACATCAAACCCAGTGATTAGTGGAAGTAGGTGCAAGAGTGTGGGGCTGTGTCTGACTTTCTAGCAATTTGTATGGGGACAGTTCCCCTTTGTAGAATTATGGTCAGACTTAGCCTTTCCCACATTGTCTGTGCTGCATTTCCTTTGTTTACACATAGTCTTAATGAATTACTTAACATATTATTGAACTAGATTTAAAAAATGTTTTATCTGCTCATTTATGATACAAATGACCTACAGTATGGGTTTCTTAACTGTTGCACTACTGATATTTTGGGTCAGATTAGTCTTTATTTAGAAGACTATCTAATATGCTATATAATAGCATCCCTGGTTTCTAACCACTAGACATTCCTAAATATGACTGAGCCACTAAGGGAGAAAACCTAGTGCTGCTCTCATGTAATCAACGGCACAGGGGAACTTAAACAGTGCAGAGTTCCCACTAGTAGATTCAGACTCACGATAGTCCCCTCTCTATGACTGGTGAAGATGTCATACCTACATCCCCAGGGCTCTAGGTTCCCTTTCAGTGGAGAGAACCTTTAGCTTCTGTCTCAGGACTTCTCAGATTGAGGACTTTTCCTGGCCCTAAACCTGGCACCATAATTCATATAGCTATTGAGCCAACCCTCCCCTGATATACATGACTCTGCTGATTTTCCTCTACGAGTGAGTGACTCATGTGTCACTAACTAAGGAGGACTAAGGATTAATAACAACTACATTGATTTTCTGGGCACCTGACTTAGAGGTTAGTTTTTCTCATCTCAAGAGTCAAAACCTCATAGTTCTTTACTTGATGGAGTGCACATTCTCCTTTGCACCACCTTTTGGTTCAAAAATACCTTAATTTTGGCCTTTCTCTTTTCTGTCTCCTTCCCATACCTCTACTCCCACCTAACTCTTCCTTCTTCACCTATTTGGCATTCTCCCATAAATTCCCCTTTAGCACTTCTAACCCTTCTCCTTTGCTAAAATATTGCATCCACAAGTTGCTCTCTGGTTATTTCAGAAGGTTATTCTACTTCCTATTGAGTCCAAATGAGATCTGGGGTCTTGGATGAACTCTAGGGACATGTGACAGGCAGGGAGAAAGCCTAGTAATGTGAGGAGAACATCAAGGCTCAATTATTGTCACTAGTGTCTTACATTTCTATAAATGTAACTTTCCCTATGTTGTGGGTACTTATACACGTTCTATCTTATTCCAGAAAGCATCTAGATGGATAAATTTGTGGTCTCATAGCTTTCTATTCAGTTCTTAATATAATCATATCTTACATATCTTGAATTATACATGCCAGACTAAAAATGACTTTATCATCTTTATCACATTATCATCTTATTTGATGCCAATAAAAAACCTGTGTACAGCAGAACAAGGATTATCATCACTATTCTATAAATAAAAGCTATAAAGCTTGAAGACAGCAAGTGATGGATGTGTCAGGACTTGAACTCATACCCTGAGTCTAAGGCCATTCCATATTTCATGCTACTTCCTCATCTTCAGTGTGAGGACTCGTGGGTTAAATTTTAGAAAGTGTGGTGATTATTCAGAGAATCACTGCTGTGTCTGTATTGGACAAAGAATTATTATACTGGCTTCCTGCAGCATTAAGGGGGGACCCAAGCCAGAGCGCTGACCTACAATGAGTGATACAGTCCTTTATTCTCCTAACTTTGCAGCTGTTATTAACAAAAACAGGGATGAAAAAAAAATTTGTTGTTGTTGGGAGGGGCAGGGTCAACTGTTAGGCCATAAGGCATCTATCTCAGTGGAAAATTACTTTTTCACTTACTGTCCAAAATTGGTGCACTTCTGTCATTGGTGACAGTCTTCTTCAGTTTCTTCCCTTTGTTGATGTCCGAGAGGAGAGCATTTCTCCCAGCCTGCTCTGTCTTATTCAAGGTAGGTTTTTCCGTGTTGGCCTGAAACGAAATCGTGCAAATTCGCATTCATCTCTTGGAATGAAACCATGTACTACAACACTCAGTTAGGCCAGCCAGAGTACTGGAAGCTTGTTATGAAGGTTCTTGGCAATAGGTTGTAAATTCTCCACAAGTTTTAGACCCGTTGTCATTCTTTTTAAGACCCAGATGTTTGGGAGCAGATGCAGCCATAAATTACATTCATTTTTAATGCAGGAAGAGTCAGTGCCTGATAAATGTCCCTGAAAAGTTCAGCCTACAATCTGGTCATAACCAGTAGAGGGAGGGCTGGAGGGCTACAAACGAGAAGGGAATGTTAATTCTGCAACAATACAGGGTGAGGCCTCTGGGCTTTGTTGGCTGGAGTGTCCTGAAGAAGCACTTCTCTTTCCTATCAGCCAGAATGCACCTAGTGCAAAGGGAAGATCACCTCTAGCAAAAAGGTCAGCTCTAAGTATCTCTTTAAAAAAAAACAAAACACAACTATATCCAGCTTAGAAAATAATTCTGTCTACATTGTGAAAGATATTTTTGTTTTTAAAATTTAATTCTGATTTATTGAAATCTCATTACATACAGTGAAACCATCTTTTAAAAATTTATAGTTTTGACAAACATTAACCACCCCACCAAGATCAAATACATTTTTTTCCCTTACACAGTAACAGTCCCATATGTCTCTCTGGGCCAAAGCGTTTATGATGTTTAATCCATTTACATTCTTTGCTCATAGAAGACTACAAAGTTACTCCTTAAAATGTCCAGGTGTTCTTATACATCTGCAGGTCCAGGGGAAAATTCCTTGGTAAGAAATGAAGATGTCCTTACTGGGGTTATTTCAAAGTGAGGTGATGAGAGCCAACTAGGAAGCAGGCATCTGTCTATGTCTGTCACTCTGAGAAACTGCTGGTCTTACCCAAAGACATCCTTACTTGCTACCTCAACCCAAAAGAGTCATCAGCATTCCTGAGTTTTTCTAGTCTAGCCCCAATCCTTTCAAAAGGATTTCAGATATGTCATCGATGGCCATGGGGGGCAAAACTGGGGAAGCCTGTGGCTTAGTTCCCCACACAATCATTGATCATCAGTTACAGCAGAGAGAAAGCAAAGGAAAACCCCGAAGTCGGTAAGACTTCATTACTGTATATTAATTGGGAAGGAATTTGAAATAATTATAATGTATCCTATGGTCATGATAGCTAACAGCTAACATCTATATGGTCTTTATGATGGGGCAGGCTCTGTATTTAGTACTTCACATATATTGACTCATTTAGTCCTCACCAATTCTAGAGTTGTTATCTCTGTTTTACAGACAAGGAAACTAAGGCCAGGAAAATGAAATCATTTGCTCTGAGTCACTCAGCTAGAAGAAGGAGATTGGATTCAAATAGTGGCAACCTAAGTCTAAATCCTTTCCTTTAAGTTGACAATGGGTAGCTATGGACTATGAAAGGCCCCTTACCTATCAGCCCCCACCATTTCCTGGTAGCAACTCTGTTAAAAGTATCTTGACTTGTTTCAGAAATGCTCTTTGCATTTATATTTTGGTTTGCTAATAGGACCACCTTTTATGGGCGCTTTGAAAATTATCTATTGTCTTAGAAAGATCCGAGGTCCAAAGAGGTTAAATGACATGTCCAAATTTGATATCCTAACAGTTTTGGGTCAGCAACCTCCAGAGACCTCTTATTCTGCCTCAGAATTGATTCTGACACCTGGCCTCCTTACATGCTAACACCTCTCAAGTCCAGGGCCTTCACTGCACAGTTCTACCAGGCCAGGGTCTTGTGTTGTGCACCAACTCCTTTCCCCTCGTCTTAGCTCTGTATCCAATTTCTCCAAGCATTTGCTTTTGTAAGGTTGTAATGAGTACAGATGAGCTGACAGGATAAATCAGGGTTGCCTGAACTTCAATAGTTTTGTTATAGCCTTCATGTTTTCTAGCATCTTCTCATGCTACCAACATTACTGATTTAATATTTTCCATTAAAGTAATTAATGATATTATTTACAAAATAATTTTTCAGGGGTATTTTCTTTTAAACTAATGTTTACGTTGTGGGTATGATGTGTTGGTTAGAATTTTTAGAACACACATTAAAATAAATGCATGACTAGGGGAAAAAAATGAATCCATGTGCCACCCAGCAGTGGTGTACAATTCACAGGTTAGAGTACACAACTAAATTTACCCTGCTGTGTAAGCCAGGTCAGGGCTTCTTAAAGCATATATGTAAAGGACCATTTTTTAAAAGCTTCTAATCAGTATAGATTTACAAAATAAAAACAATTCATTAGGAAAATTAATTAAGATACACAAAATACCCTATTATCAGACTAAAAAAACACCAGTAAAACTATTGTCAAATAATATAAAATTATGTAAAATTGCACTGTCAAATTATAAAGTTACTGTCAAACTATGAATGTGTCTTGTTGATTGGCTCCACAACCAACACTCTTGTTACCAGCAGGCTGGAAATTAAAAGACAAATTGTGTTGAGAAAGTCTGCTGTCTGGGACCTCTCCAGAGTACTGAAGAACAATGATGTCAGTCTTGAGACTAACGTGTGCTTGACCTAGGCCATGGTCTTTGCAATTGTTTGCTATGCATCAGAAAGCTGGACAATGACTAGGAATGACAGAAGGAGAATTAAAGCTTTTGAGCTGTGGTGCTGTGGAAAAGCATGGAATATACCATGGACTGCTAGGAAAACAAAGAGGTTCATTCTAGAGAGGGTAACATTAGACTACTCCTTGGAGGCAAGGATTCTGAAACGCCGTCTGACATACTTTGGACATGTTTCAAGAAAGGACCATTCCTTGGAGAGGGACATCCTGCTTGGGAGGATGGAGGGACAGCGTGAGACAGGAAGACCCTTGATAGATGGATTGATTCAGTTACTGGGGTGATGTAGGTAGGTGTATCAGAGACAGTATGGTTGGCACAGGATGGAGCAGAGTTTAGGGCTGTTATACACAGGGTTACTATGAGTCACAAGTGACTCTATGTCACATAACAACAACAACATGAATGTTTCTAAATACTGACTCTCAATTTCTATTCATATTTCTTTAGAAGCCCTAACAAGCCATTTGAGAACCACATTTTGAATAGCAGCACTGAGCTAATTAATGGTCTTCTCATCCAAGGTCCAGCCTCAGATGGGCTATAAATGTATCCCATGAAAGCCTGAAGTAAGACATCAGTCTTCTCTGGGCCTCAGGGTCCCCAAGCAAAAAATGAAGAGTCCATTTCCTTATGAAGCTTCTCAGCAGTGAGGGCTGGAGGGCCTCTATAATGACATGTTTTGGGGCCTTCCCACATTATTAGGGGGCAGCCACCTGCTTTCTAGATAGAAGAACATCTGGAAGATTTCCAGTCTCTAAGAGACTGGGATGAGTCCAATCAAGAAGTAGCTTTGCAAGGACAGATTTAAAGAGAGATGTAAGCATGACTGTGTGTAGGGAGTATGAGTGATGGTGAGGATAACAGCTATCAACAAAGAGAATGAGACTGGAGAACATTTTAATAGATGCATCTTTGGATAAAACACAGCCAGGATTTCTGAACTGTCCTGCCCACAAGTTAAAGAGTAGAAGTTAAAGTTCACTTGAATAGGAACAGTGCATGCAGGTTTTAGAACTGCTTGTGTGAACCCCTATGGGAGGGCCAGCACATGGGATGAAAGGATGCTTCCCTTGGTGAACATGGATGGAGAGACCTGAGAAAACCACCTTCTTCACTTGTAATGTGCATCACTGACACCTTAGACAACAAGAATCTTTGGTGTTTCTGTTCACTGGGTCTCAGGGTTCAGCTTACTCTGAGCACCTGGAAAGCCTGTCATATCACATTTAGGCCTGAACACAAATATGGCTAAAACAAATGCACATATGGCAGGTTTGGATTTCATCTGACACGCTTTGTGCACAGATAAAGGACAGTGATGGGAAACTCACCAGTGCAAATGTGGGGGGTGGTGGGGGTGCTGGCGGGGGAGGGACGGGCATCTTGAACAGTTACACCTTCAACAGTCTTGCTGATGAATCTGAAAGAAAAAGACAAAAGCAAAATATAATCAGACATTAGATATTTTGGTATTATCGGTGTTAATTATATCTTCCGCATTCCCTGCCAAAAGGACAGCTGTTCACAAAGTCAACTTTTTTTTTTTTTTAATATACAAAGCAAAAGAACATATACCAATTCAACAGTTTCTACTGTATAGTTCATGGACACGGATTACATTCTTCAAGTGTGCAAGCATCCTTGCCCTTTGTCTGAGTTGTTTCTCCCCCTCTGGTGGCCTAGTGGTAGGAAACTGCGCTGTAATCCCAAAAGCACAGGGTTCAAATCCACCAACTGCTCCGCAGGAGAAAGACAATCTCCTCCCATGTGATTTACTGTCTCTGAAAACTTGCTGGCGGGTCAGCTACGGGTCTGATCTGACTCAATGGTACACCAAAAAACAATATTTAGTTAACTTTATTAACACTTAGTTGTTCCTCTTCTATTGACAAAGTCACTGTCTCATCTCAAGATTCCTATCTATTTTTGTGGTTGCTGATGTCAATTTGATCCCATATAGATAGTTTTTAAAAGGCCCTAATTCTCAAGGCAGATAATTTTTAACTAATTAAGCTAAAATACTGTTTTCCTTTAAGGAGATTTCAGGGAATATTTTTGTTTTATGGTCTAACGAATATCTCAGAAGTTCATCCATCCTCCATGGCTCCAGAAAGCCTGGAGTTAAAGAGAAGTTGAAGTTCTGCTGTGTACTTTTTCCATTTTGCTCAGGACAGGTCTCATTGCAAAAGAGACACTTATGAGGCAAATAGCCACATGTTCCATTTCCTCTTCCTCTAGACTCTCATTCTTCCTTTGTTGCTCCAGGCAGACAGTGACCTCTAAGCCAGTGAAGTAGAACCCCAAAGGCTTGGAAGAACAGAGGCTTTCCTCCAGAATAGGAACAGGGCCTTAGCATCAGAACATAGTTCCTAACAGGGGAGGCATTCCTAATCCAAACTCTGGCAACTGCAAGAATCCATGGAAAGAATTCAGGATTCCATGAAGTTGGGTATACAAACATACATGTTTATTTTCATGAAGTATTAATTGAAATTGGGTATTTCCTTATATTACGAATGTAGACCACAAATTACAGTGACTAAGTGTTTTTCACAAATCAATCTCTTTAAATCATATTATCTTGTTACAGATTGCTTTTGAAGTTATGGCAATGATTAGTTCTTATTCTTTAAACTATTAACTAAAGAAGCACATATGTCCATACAATTAATTTGTTTGTAATTCTCTGTATTTAATTTATTCAAACATATTAAGCGAAAGAGTCCATGGGTTTCATCAGATACCAGTATGGTCTCTGGAATGGAAAAGTTCTGAACCCCAGGAAGAACATTAGTCTGGATCAGGTCAATTTGGTTTTGAATCCTTGCTCTGCCATCTAATTACAGGAAAGGAATTTAGCCTTCAAAATCGCCCTTTCCTATCTATTAAATGGGGACTTCCTAAGGAGATTACATGAAATGATGTACATGAAGCTCTCAGCACAGAGGAAGTGATCAATAGATGGACCTGTTTTCCTTGGTGGTGAGGTCAGGGCCCTGCTCAACCACCTGGAAGGGGAAGAGGTAGCTGAGCGGCTTTGCCCAGCGTCATGAGAACACGGCTGGGCAGGAATGAGGCAGCCCAACAATTCAGTTCTTCCCTCAGGAATTGGGAGCACATCAGGAAAGACAGGTCTCTTCTGGGGTCAGGAGGGGTTCTGTGGATTCAAATTCATAGTGACCCACGTGACAGGGCAGAACTATTCCACAGGTTTTCCTGGGTGTGATCTTTAGTGGAGCAGACGGCCACTTTTTTCTCCTGTGGGATCACTGAGTAGGTTTAAACCATTAATCTTTCAGTAAGCAGACCAGCATTTAATCCTTGCACAACCAGGACACCTTAGTAGGAGCTCTTACTTTTTTCCCTTGAGTCTATGCTAGACTCATGGTGAGCCTATGTGACAGAGTTGCCTAGTGACCCTATGTGACAGAGCTGTAGAATGACCCTATGTGATAGAGTTGCATAGTGACCCTATGTGACAGAGCTGTATAGTGACCCTATGTGATAGAGTTGCATAGTGACCCTATGTGACAGAGTTGCATAGTGACCCTATGTGTTAGAGTTGTCTAGTGACCCTATGTGACAGAGCTTTTTGTGACCCTATGTGACAGAGCTGTATAATGACCCTATGTGAGAGTTGCATAGTGACCCTACATGACAGAGCTGTATAGTGACCCTATGTGACAGTTGTATAATGACCCTATGTGAGAGTTGTATAGTGATCCTATGTGACAGAGCTGTATAGTGACCTTATGTGACAGTTGTATAATGACCCTATGTGATAGAGTTGTATAGTGACCCTATGTGACAGAGCTGTATAGTGACCCTTTGTGACAGAGTTGCATAGTGACCCTATGTGTTAGCATTGTATAGGGACCCTATGTGACAGAGCTGTATAGTGACCCTATGTGACAGTTGTATAATGACCCTATGTGATAGAGTTGCATAGTGTCCTTACATGTCAGAGCTGTATAGTGACCCTATATGACAGAGTTGTATTGTGACCCCATGTAACAGAGTTGTATAGTGACCCTACGTGGTGGAGTTACATAATGAGCCTATGTGGTAGAGTTGTATAGTGACCCTATGTAGTGGAGTAACATAGTGACCCTATGGCCCTACATGGTGGAGTTACATAATGACCCTATGTGGCAGAGTTGTACTGCCCCATCAGGATTCTAAGGCTGTGAATCCTAATAGGAGCAGACTGCCTTACTTTGCTCGCTTGGAGCATCTGACGGGTTTGGACTGCAGCCTGTCAGTTAGTAGCCCCCACCTTAACCTACTAGTTAGTCTGTTGCGGTTCCTTAGCAGAGGCAATACAACAAGGGGAAAGGTTAAGGCAAGGTTTTCCTATGTGTCATCTGTGCTTCTGCATCAGAATCAGCTGTGTGCTTTTGAGAGTATGGAGTCCAGAGATTTCTTGGGCAAAAAAAGAAACTGACCAGTAGTGTATTATAAAGGGTTTTTCTTGCAATGTTTCCAGTGTGAAGTGGGTGATGGGGGACACCGTGTGAGGAAGCCTGGCCTACGCTCCTCACACCGCCACTCTACGCCAGTGGCACGACCAAAGCAGAGGCTCAGCCTACAATCCTCAGGGCTGCTGAGGAAAGGCACAGATTCTTCTTCAGTGTGATCACCTAAGGAAGCAAATTACCCTCGGATGTAAAATATCCTTCAGATCAAGAAAAGGCCCTTTGGAGTAGTGAGAGAAGACATTCACCCTGAAACCACAGTGTCCCTTTTCAGCAGGAAGTAGCTAAGAGAATAGGCCATCCCCTTTTCCTTATGAATCAGGGTGAAGTCTCTCTCAGGGAGGAGTGATAGGGAATGGCAAGGGACACACTGACGAAGGAGATTAATCAGAACTGGCTTTGACAAGCACTGTGGCAATTGGACAATTAAAACAGACATGGGGGGGGGTAAAGAAGAACAAACTGGGGATGAGAGTGGAGAAAACAGTGCAACAATGAATGAATGAAAACCCAAAATCTCTGTAAATGTTCATTAAAACTAATAAAATTTAATAAAACAAAGAAAAGAAAAAAAAAGAAAAGGAATTTGTTGGAGCAAACGGTTCTGTAGTTTTTCATAGTCAACTTCAAATGCTGGGATACAGTAAATTGGTTGTTAAAAATGGCTTTCCTTGAAAAAAAAAAAGGCTTTCCTAGTCAATTGGCTTTGACTTTAATCATATGGTTGGGTGAGATTATGTTACTAATGACGTGAATGGGGTGAATAGCACGTTTGGGGTTGGAACACACAAACAAGGTGTAAAGAGCACTAGTGGAGGGATGAGTCAGTTCTGTTCTGCCACGAGGCTTAATCAAAACAGGCTGTGTGGGAGAAAATGGGAATTTCAACACAGCAAGAAAGAGGTAGAAGGTGTGGTTCAAGTCCTTCAGGGTCAGAGAAATTCCTGCACGTGACAAAGACAGACCAAGGTCCAGACCCCAAAGCCACAGAAGTGGTAGAGAACTGAGTATGTGAGACCCAGAGCCTTTGCTTAAGCTTAATGGAGGACTGGTAGGTACATATTGGTAAGATAAGAAACAAGGAGGCTAAAAGGTGATAGGGTGCGAGCACACCCGAGCAACTGTCCTGAATGAAGAACTGTTCCTCGTTTTCCCAATTTTAATTTTAACCTATTACTTTCCCAATAATTTCCATCATTTTGAATATGGATTGTGTGGCCACTGCAACAGATTGGTGGACCTAGCAGTAGAGCAGCAAGAGCCCTCTGAGAGCTAAGCCGGTGCTGGAGGAAGCTTCAGGAGAACAGGGGTGTCTCTGACTTCTTAGGGATTGGTTTTGTGCTGTGGATATGTTGATGGGAACTCTTCCTCCCTTGTGGCGTTGGTGGGAGTGAGTCTCGGCTGCCTACCCCTCAAACCTGCCTTTACTGTTTTTACAATTTTATCCTAGATGGCGCTATGTAGGGCCCACACAGGTAAGGTGTAGAGACAGAGATTCCCCTAGTGAATACAGGTGATAATTCTCAGAAGGCTAGTCTCTAATCCTGAGGGTTAGGGGTATTTGAATCTGCCAAATATTAGATTTACTTCGTCATGTTCTGTCACCACTTTGGGATATTTAAAAAGAAAGCATTGTGTTCTCTACATCTTGTCTAAAGTCACCCTTAATCTAATATTCTCCTATGTGAATAACACAAAAATGTACAAAGATGAAAATAAAGTACTAAAGATGAATTTAAGTACTGAGCAAAGCACTTAATAATTAAAGCAAAAAAAGTTGGGAATTAATAATACCCAGAGATATTTCTTGTTAAAATGTTGATGTATATCCACTCAGCTTATAAATAATATACATATAGATACTACAAATACATGTGTACATAAACACAAAATTATTTGACCAATAAATATTAATTGAAGGAAATTTATCATTCATATAATTCAA